ATGTGGGGCCGTTGGGGATGGCGCGGGCAAGGCGATCTGAAGTATGGAGGATATGGTGATTGTCATTTGTGATTTTGCGAAGGGGAGGGAGATTGGGGTGAAACGTGGTAACCAAGGGAATCATGGGTTTGGCCATGGCATCAGGGGCCTTTCCCGTGAGAGCTAGATTTCTGGGGATAGCTTTAGCTCTGGCAATGGCACGATGAACTTGGCGAGAGCTGTGACCCCTGGCCACCAAGTTGTTCCTCAGTATCTGTGTATGGCGGGAGAAATCGGAATCATTAGAACAAATTCTTCTGAGTCTGAGTGCCTGGCTAAACGCTATGCCAGTTTTGCAGTGCCTGGGGTGACAGCTGGAGGAGTGGAGGTACTGGTGGGTGTCTGTGGGTTTGGAATACAGGTCAGTGGTTAGTGAGTTGCCTTGCTTGCGGACGGTGACATCCAGAAAGTGGGTTTGGTGAGCCGAGAACTCCGATGTGAATTTGATGGTTCTGTGGAAGGAATTGATGTGGTTAGTGAAGGTCAAGAGACTGTCCTCATCACTGGTCCAGATGAAAAAAACATCATCAATATATCTCCACCAGATCCAAGGGCGACATGGGGCCGAGGCAAGAATGCGTTCTTCGAGGTCGCCCATGAAGAGGCAAGCCATCGACGGGGCCATGCGGGTGCCCATTGCAGTGCCGTGTACCTGTAGATAGTGTTCACCAAGGAAGGAAAAATTGTTCTTCGTTAGTATAAGTCTCATGAGGGTGCCAACATTACTGATGGGAGGAGTCGTGTGTCCTGCCTTGGCCAGAGCCAAGGAGCAAGCACGAACACCCTCCTCATGTGGGATGTTGGTGTACAGAGATGAGACGTCGAAAGTCCCAATGATGGCTGTGCTGGGAATCTGGTCCTTGATTCCTTCAAGCTTGCGTAGGAAGTCTGGCGTGTCGTGAATGTATGACGAAATCTGTGGGACAAGGGGTTTGAGAAAACTGTCAATGAACAGGGAGATGCGTTCCGTGGGTGAGCCATTACCGGAGATGATGGGTCTACCGGGGTTGCCAGCCTTGTGAATCTTGGGTAGAAGGTAAAATCTGGCAGTCCTACAATCACAGGGAGAAAGAAATTTGTGAGCTTTCTTGGACAACTGGTCACGTGATCGCATATCGTCAAGTACCTGTTGTATATCTCGACAGAAAGTGCCTGTGGGGTCAGAGTCAAGGCGGGTATAGTTAGTGCGATTCTCCAGCTGGCGGTGGGCCTCATCAATGTACTGCTGACGATCCATGATGACCACAGCTGAACCTTTATCTGCTGGCTTGATGATGATGTCGGTGCGAGAGCGCAAGGAGTTGAGAGCCAGGCGCTCCTCTCTGGGGAGATTATCATGAGTCCTGTGGGGGAAATTGTCCGGGTTAGTGACTTGGGAATTGATAACTTGAACGTATGTCTCTATGGCTGGCACACGATTCTTGGGGGGTACCCATGAACTCTTGACTCGAAAAGGCTCTGGCTCACACGGTTCACTGTCCAGAAAAAACTCACGCAGACGGATTCTACGGTAGTATTCCGTGAGATCTTGGCTGAGCTGAACCTGGTTCACAGAACGGGGAGCGGGACAAAAATTGAGGCCATAGAGACATACGTTCAAGTTATCAATTCCCAAGTCACTAACCCGGACAATTTCCCCCACAGGACTCATGATAATCTCCCCAGAGAGGAGCGCCTGGCTCTCAACTCCTTGCGCTCTCGCACCGACATCATCATCAAGCCAGCAGATAAAGGTTCAGCTGTGGTCATCATGGATCGTCAGCAGTACATTGATGAGGCCCACCGCCAGCTGGAGAATCGCACTAACTATACCCGCCTTGACTCTGACCACACAGGCACTTTCTGTCGAGATATACAACTTGACGATATGCGATCACGTGACCAGTTGTCCAAGAAAGCTCACAAATTTCTTTCTCCCTGTGATTGTAGGACTGCCAGATTTTACCTTCTACCCAAGATTCACAAGGCTGGCAACCCCGGTAGACCCATCATCTCCGGTAATGGCTCACCCACGGAACGCATCTCCCTGTTCATTGACAGTTTTCTCAAACCCCTTGTCCCACAGATTTCGTCATACATTCACGACACGCCAGACTTCCTACGCAAGCTTGAAGGAATCAAGGACCAGATTCCCAGCACAGCCATCATTGGGACTTTCGACGTCTCATCTCTGTACACCAACATCCCACATGAGGAGGGTGTTCGTGCTTGCTCCTTGGCTCTGGCCAAGGCAGGACACACGACTCCTCCCATCAGTGATGTTGGCACCCTCATGAGACTTATACTAACGAAGAACAATTTTTCCTTCCTTGGTGAACACTATCTACAGGTACACGGCACTGCAATGGGCACCCGCATGGCCCCGTCGATGGCTTGCCTCTTCATGGGCGACCTCGAAGAACGCATTCTTGCCTCGGCCCCATGTCGCCCTTGGATCTGGTGGAGATATATTGATGATGTTTTTTTCATCTGGACCAGTGATGAGGACAGTCTCTTGACCTTCACTAACCACATCAATTCCTTCCACAGAACCATCAAATTCACATCGGAGATCTCGGCTCACCAAACCCACTTTCTGGATGTCACCGTCCGCAAGCAAGGCAACTCACTAACCACTGACCTGTATTCCAAACCCACAGACACCCACCAGTACCTCCACTCCTCCAGCTGTCACCCCAGGCACTGCAAAACTGGCATAGCGTTTAGCCAGGCACTCAGACTCAGAAGAATTTGTTCTAATGATTCCGATTTCTCCCGCCATACACAGATACTGAGGAACAACTTGGTGGCCAGGGGTCACAGCTCTCGCCAAGTTCATCGTGCCATTGCCAGAGCTAAAGCTATCCCCAGAAATCTAGCTCTCACGGGAAAGGCCCCTGATGCCATGGCCAAACCCATGATTCCCTTGGTTACCACGTTTCACCCCAATCTCCCTCCCCTTCGCAAAATCACTAATGACAATCACCATATCCTCCATACTTCAGATCGCCTTGCCCGCGCCATCCCCAACGGCCCCACATTGGCTTACAGGCGTCCTCGAAATCTACGGGACTTGATTGTTCGAGCTGAAGTCCCTTCCTTAGATGCATCCCCTCCCACCCAGCATGGTACTTTCAAGTGCAGTTCCAGATGTGTTGTCTGCCAGATTCATATCCAGGAGTCTGACTCCTTTTCTGGCCACTCTTCTGTCACTACCCATAGAACCATTGGTAACATCACTTGTAACACCTCTAATGTCATATATCTCATTTCTTGCAGGGTCTGTGGAGTGCAGTATGTAGGTGAGACTAAGAATACGCTCAAGAAGCGTTTCTATGCCCACCGGTCAACGGTCAACACCAAGAAACTAGACACCCCTGTTGGTCATCACTTCAACCTGCCTAACCACTCCATTTCTGATATGATTTTGCAGGGCATTGAATCTCTTGGCCATCGCAAGGACTCAGTTCGCCTCAGCAGAGAGAAAGTGTGGATGAATCGTCTTCGAACTATTCAACCACATGGTCTCAACATCCAACTTGGAAATGATTAATCCTTTTCTTCCTCCATTGTCTTCTGTTACAGATAATCCATCTGGTCTTCCTTGTTTGTGTTTACCCATCTTCTCCCATCTTTCATCCCTTTCCACCTCAATACTATCCCCCCCCCCCACATCATCCCTTCACTATCACACTCTTTTGTCCGTTCCCACTCCCTGTGACCTTTGATCCTTCCCCTTTCTGGTCCCTCCCCTGTTTACACAAGACCCCTTGTGGTTTGCCATCTCCCTTTGTTTCTTTGTTCTCTCATCCACCCTCCCCTGCATCTTTCCACACCTTTCACACCTAATCCTCCTTTTGTGTTTCTTCTTTCAGCCCTGCATGTTTGTGTGCACCCCCATGTTAATGTATGTACCTCTGTCATTTCTGTTTTAGCCTCTGAAGAAGAACTTGCTAAGTTCGCAACGTCAGGCCACATTAATTTTAAGATTTATATATTTCAGGTCCATCCAGTCAGTAAGCAGTTTGCAGCAGTTTTACTTTTTTTCATGTTCTAGTAATGTAGTTGCAATTGTAAAATAATAATCTTTAGGGCTTACTTTCATGGCTGTTCGCAAGTGATTCTTTTAATCTGACCAAACCAAATAAGTGTACATAAATAGTTTACGTATAACGGAAGTGGTACGTTGTAGAAACATAATCACAATCGTACTCCTTACCCTAACTTAACCTTGTATTATGGGCTTCGTGCGCCGACATGGAGGGCGCCCTTTTTACCTAGCAACGACATCCCACGGGCGGGACCATTAGTCTCCATTCAATGGCGGGACCATTGATCTCCATATACCATTGATCTCCATATACCCAGATCAATGCCATATACACAGACTGGATAGGACATCGCGCAGTGTTTGTGCACGGATGCGCGGCCGAACAATGGCGGCGCGTTTACTGTCAGACGGGTAAACGCGCATGGTGCTTTCACTTTGTTTACTTTGGAAAATGGATTATTGAGTGAATTTTTTCTTACAGGAGGGAGTTCAAGCGCTCCTCCAAAACTAGTCTTTAAAAAAAATAACTGAACGATGAAGAGTTACCCTCAATCCAAATGTACTTTCTTTGTCGGTGAGGGGGTACTTGTGAACGGAGCGGATGCCCTCGCCAAAGTGTCAATTGAGGTTTTGCATCACGCGTAATCCATTTAACTTGTTTACGACGGTGAAAATTTGCCTAGAAAATAGGACTTCAAAGTGTCTCCCTATAATATGCATTGTCTCCCTAAGGTTGATGATAACGTGTCTCCCTAATACAGGAAGTACACAAACTGTCTGCAGTTTCTAATGGTAGATCATCTTTAAAAATAAAAAAAGTAGAATTTTGTAAGGTTTATGGTTGAGCTTATTATGTTGAAAAACAAATTCAACATTATTTTATTGGGTTAGACAGCATAGGTCCGTCCCGCCGATCTCCTGTGCCCGTGTCCTATACAGCCTCATTCCACATGCAGTCAATCTGGCTAGGCCGTTCGAGTTGTTCCAAACAAGATGATCTTGGACGGCAAAGGGTCTTCCAGCCGGAAGTTGGCCGTTGACCTCTCTTGGAATTGATGGCGATGCCCAGAACGGTTTTTGCTTGGATGTTGTCAGCCAGGCGAGCGACGTGACCGAAGAAGGCGGTGCGGCGATGTTGGATTTGGTGGATGATGGTTGGCAATCTTGTTCTGTGGAAGACCTCGTTGTTGCTGACGAAGTCGTACCACTGGATGCCTAGGATCGCGCGTTGACACCTTAGGTGAAATGACTCAAGTCTTCTGAGATCAGAATTCAGCAGGGTCCAGGTTTCTGAGCCATAGTCTATAGTTGGACAGGAGTGACGCATGTCTTGTATATACCAAGCTTGGTGGTAAGTTTCAGCCTCTTTAGCCTCCAGATTCTGTGTAGGCTGTTCATATCTGATGAAGGGTCAGCGCAATGTTATACCCAGAAAACTGTCAATAACAAAAAAGTGCTGCAACAAATCGTAGAATTTTTCTTAATAAAAGTTATAATAATTCAATTTTATAATGAATATTATATCAAGTGCAGGGAACCGCCAGAGATTGACGCCTATGGCGTAACATACAAAGTTGGAAAAAAAAACAGATTATGCAACATAACTAATCGACCAAACTAATGACAGTAAAGTTAGTTTGATATTGGTCGTTGGCCACACAAAACCTCTATACATGTAAAGCTAAACTGAAACAAGTAAGTCTTAAGAGCGGATTTGAATTCAAAAGCCGAAGAGATATTGAAAGTATTCGGAGGAGATTTGTACCAATGTTTAAGGCCTACATGTACATGAGAAATAATCCCCCACGAACACTTTGAGTGGAAGACCTGAAGCGTCTGGAGTTTTAGTTAAAACCTCAAGTGCCAGAGCGTAGTAAAATGTATGTTCAAATACATAGTTTCCTTTATTCCGTTGTATAGTTTCCTTTATTGCTATTTAGTTCATGCTTATGTAAGGAATGCCACAAAAACTTAATCATTTAGTAAGCCACAGAAACCAAATCTTTTAGGCAAAGTTAGCCACAGAAACTGTTCAATTTATTATTCAATTAACTAATTTGGCACCCACTAAAATCCCATTGTATTGTATTGTATTGTATTGTGTCTGTAATGTATTGAATTTGTATACATAATATTTGCAGCCAACTTTTATTGTATGCCGGGCCCCAATGGAAACCAGTTTTCAGCTGTTTTGACATACCCCTGGGTAAAGAAATGTTATAAATAAATAAATGTCAGACGTACTTGTGAGTAGACCGGTGTACAGCAACAGCGCCACCATGTGGCGGCTTTGGCAGTCTTCATGTTGCCATCGCCGCTTTGTTGGCCTGCGTTGCTTCGCACAAATCCAGGTGAAATAATGATCTCTTGCTTGAATTGTTAATTTCATCTGATTTATATAATAGAACTTCTTAGGGTATACAGCTTGTATGTGACAACATAAAGTGTGTATAAATGGATAGATTAATGGGTACATTTAGGGCAGGCTGTTTTTTGAATTTCCATTCGATAAATTAATGGACGCCCTCTACTTGCGGTACGTTTATTATGTACATGTGTAAATTTCGGTCTTGATTAACTTTAAGGGAATAGTCGACTTATTTTACATTGCCTTTCTTTTTATGTTGTTTCCTCATGTTGCCATCGCCTACGTTGTTGGCCTGCGTTGCTTCGCACAAATCCAGTGGATGATTAAACAACCTATCGAGATCTGATACCATACGTTGTATGTACGGGTGTATTTGCCTGCAATCGGGGACCCCTATTGTCCCTGTATTGTTTGTACTCAATTTTAGGAAGACGTCCTTCCCATATGTTACATATACGATTAGAGATTCGGAACCTTTGGGAATTGGGAACCCTATTGTCCTCTATTGTTCAACGTCCCCCATTGAATGCAGAAACAAACTCACGCACACACTTAACTTTAACTTCAGTCTTAATAAATCTCTTTAAACCATTGCTATGACGTCACACTATTGTTAAAAGTGTGGATTCGGATCTACGAATCTTTTACACTGGTCACAAAGTGTGGATTCGGAACGACGAATCTTTAGTAAAGTGTGGATTCGGAATAACGAATCCACACTTTGAACATGTCGGACAATTGTTCTCCATAATGAGCATGAATAGGACCGTCTGCGTGAAAATTTGTTTTTCGAAAATTACCAATGCATCTTCACTGTCAGATTTTCCGCTTTCACTGCACTGCAAAATCTACTTATAGTCAGAAAGAAATCGTCGTCTGAACTATATCCATTTTGACGTAAGGAGCCTGTGTGTCGATACACTTAAAACACGTCAGGAAACAATGTTGCAACCTGACGCCACTTCCGCGCTTGTGTACAACGTCTATGGAGAGTCATTTCAAGTATTTCCTAAGAATTTTGGAAACATTTGTCAGTCCCAGATTCATGTCTTATCATCATTTTTGCAACAAATGGCATTTATTGAGATGATGATGAAAAAAGTGGCGTCAGGTTGCAGCATTCTTTCCAATACTTCTGTTGACGCAACGGTTTAAGTCAAAAATACAATCGCAAGTGTGGATTCTTAATTCCCCCCCCCCCCCCCCCCATTTGATTTTACGGAGGCCAAGTGTCCGGTGAAAAAAACGTGTCGACATTTCAGCACGGGTTTGCAAGTGCCCCTTTTTGGTGATGCCCCCCAGTTTCAAACCCGTTCCGCCGCCGCTGCCTAAACCTAACCAGGAGTAACATAATCTTATGTGCGGGTTGTCGAGACATAGGGGTGTTTTTACCAGTGTAGTTGTTTTACTTTAAAGTCATCGGTCGTTATTGTTACACATTGCTTCGTTCGACGCGTCATTATAGATCTGCAAAATGTCTGAGTAAATTAAAGGTATTATCAAAATTAATCAAACTTATACACATTTGCACATAATGTGGCTTTAAGAACGTGCCTTCTAGAACTTTAAGTAGAATATCATTTTAGGTTGTTTGAGATTAGTTCTGTTTGCACGCCTAGTGCAATAACTATGGGGTTTCCCAGTTACTTGAACTTCTGTATCATTTAATTCCATAAAATAATTATATTAATTTCGTCCGAAGATGCCACTGGGTTCCGCTGTAAATCTGGCTTTAAACATTAGGGTATTTTCAATTACAAATTTAAAATTATTCATTGAAGCAGACTGGAATTAATTAGGAATTAACTTGCTTTCATTTCTCTTCGCAAGTTCCAAAAATTAAGATTGTACCTCACTTTCAATTCAATATGGCCGACTCGTGAATAAGGCCCATTAAGTTACACGACACGTACGCGCCCGGCCGCGAATTTTTTCTCCCAAACGACATCCGCATACATGATTGTTAAGCGCCATCTACGATACTTTTATGATACGCACGCAAGTATTTTGCACCGCGAGGTTGCAGGTTTGAATCTCGGTTTTGCACCCGAATTGTTTTCCTTTTCTAACCTGAGGCTTCGGAGGATTATTTTTAAAAGGGAAATAAATTTCGAATTTCATAACGTTCAAATTCACTTTTTTTTCTAATGTTATATTTTCTTCTTATGTTTTTATAAAAGTTATGTCCAAAACGCCATAGCGTACACCAGGATGGATGTCGTTTGGGAGAAAAAAATTGCCGCCCGGCCGGCTGTGGTTGAATTACAAAACACTGCATTCGAATTGACCAATCAAACCAGTAGTTCTGATTTGGGAATGAAATGACGTCACGATTTAGTGTCGACTCTGATTGGCTGGCGCGCGGCTTGCATATATCTGCATATTTGACATATCAGACGTTATGCAGGAGATTTGGCTCCGTGGAAAACAGGTGATACTCAGACTACAAACTCACTGGTTTGACCGAAAGCCTGCTGCTGCTCAATTTTACCATATTCCCGCCCGTACGGTGTTTTTTTTCACCTTTGCGGTGACCGGCAGTAGCGTTTCCCGCACACATGCCCGATTCCCTCCTATAATCGGTCAAGTGATGATTGGTCATTTGATGACTAGTCACATGATGACATCCGTGTGACTTCCTTCGTTAATCTGATTGATTAGCATATTGCGTCCGGCAAAATCGGATCCGGCGCAAGGCTCGTTCCCAGCAGGGTGTCGAGCAGTACGCGCCCACCACTACCTGTTCTCACCCTGGTATTGGATCATTCGCACGTGCAAGGTTTCTGAACACGTATGCAAATGGAGAATAGTTTGGTGCCTGCATATGCGTTACATTAGCGTTTGTTTTTGTGTGCGGTGTCTGGAGAACCGGTAAAAACACCATCAATTCGTCGCGCCGTGAGTTATGAAAACACTATTTTTTTTTAAGTTGAAATGTTACAATCTTCCCGCCAATATGCAGTATCACATTTCATATTTATAAGAGCAAACTTGAAAGAAAAGGAGTATTATTGAGAAGGTGTGGACGTTATATTTGCGATGATCGTGAAAACACGTAATGCACGTTGAATATAACAACACCAACTACACGATATAAATCCATTATTAGCAAATTGCGGTTTCGAATCAGGATAAAGGAAGAAAGTTCCTTTTCAGCAACGGCGGTGGAACGGGTTTGAAACTGGGGGGCATCACCAAAAAGGGGCACTTGCAAAACCGTGCTGAAATGTCGACACGTTTTTTTCACCGGACACTTGGCCTCCGTAAAATCAAATAGTGTGTGTGGGGGGGGGGGGGGGACCATCTTCCAACATAGGGGGCGCTTTTCAAAACCAATGATTATTTGCTAAATATGCATTATGTGCCCATTTTCAGGGCGTATTGTATGGGTTTTGGGACTTGGTTTGCATATTCCTCGTTTATATTAACAATATCTATACCATTATTGGGATGTAGTTACTTCTAAGAAATACTAAGATACTTTAAGGGCATTTTTGTAGTATCTTGAGGGGGCACTTTACTGTTCGAGGGGGCACATTTACGGCCGCAAAAGGGGCACTTGGGAAAATCTGAGGGGGGGGGGGGGCAAATGCCCCCAGCTTCCCCCCCCCCCCCCGGTTCCGCCGCCCCTGCTATTCAGGGCTTACTATTGGAAACGAGGTTGGAAATAAAATAAGCACTGGGGACGAGGCGAAATAGGATGCGAAAAAAACGTTTGATTTCATCCGGTAGGCCGGTCGGCCGGTATGATGTAATAGACCACGGCGAATGCCTTGGATAGATAGGGCTCCCGAACGGGTGATACTCAGACTAGTCGGCCGGCCGGTATGGACGCCGTGTGCCAACAAAGGAGGGCGCGCTTTTACCACTTCTGAGTGCCCCTTGGACGGGACACCGCATGTGTGCACCCATACTGAAATTTGTATCCTTGTGGAGACATTTCTTTGTTCTCGTGTAGTAAAGTTTTCGAGTTTGAAAGTATAGTTTCAAAATGCTCTTATTTTAACCAGAATTAATTTCCTTGGCTGAAATTCGGACTTCATATCCCTTTTCTAAAACTCTTTCATTTGCGACGGATCAACATACCTTGGAAATTCCTAGTTTTTGAGTAAAGTCCATATATCTATTTCGTGATAACCTTGTGGAGATTTGATTTGAACCTTTGACGTCGTGGCACGTTCGCTGCGAAATTCGCCCGAGTTGAAATATGTTCAACTTTTACGAATTCGCAGCGCGAATATTTGCCATGACGTCACAAATTCGTGGTCGCTTTCGCTTTCGCGCTGAGTATGAACCGGGCTTCCAACTTCGATCGTGTTCATTGAAAACAATAGGCACACAATTTAGACTTCACCAAGCGCACCAGGAGAGTTTTGTAACATAGGGTACACCAGCCAAAATGTCACGGGATGCATAAAATTTGCTTGTAATTGGCCTCCCGACGTTTACATCTTTTTTTAGCTTTTGAATATGCTAAGCGCGGTAAAATGAATGGCCTTCACATGGCTTGCTGCTCAAGCGGGCACACACGTTAACTGCACTGGTGCGTGATATTTACTTATGGGACTGAAGGTTTTTAAGAGCGGATCTTCTTGTGTAAAGCCTATTACCAGTGGCATTATCCCTTGGATACTATTCACAGTCAGTTCTCAGTAAAGTCCACTCTGTGTCCCTCCCATCGGGTCAAAATGGACAGGCAGGCCGTACCACCGTCACCTCCTCACCCTTGGCGATGGATGATCATAGTTTCTCGCTTCTTTTGGACCTTCATTTGCCTGGGTAGTTTCAAGTCGCTGGGCGTGCTCCTACCCCATTTTGTGGACAGTTTCTCCACCAGTACGGCAGTGGCTGGTTTGGTCAGCAGTTTCCTACTAGGCTTTGGCCTGCTGAGTTTCGGTAAGTCTATCGGTCGAGGCCATAAGTTTTAAGTGCTTTATAGTTAGTGATTTTCCGAAAATTTAGGAGTCTCAATACTGTGTATGAGATTCCTTAAATGAACCTTAAGGTATGGAAAACATGCAATACAAGAAAATAGACTGACACGTAAAACAACCAGTTTAACAAAAATAATATATCAATTAACTGTGAAGAAACATCTGGCATGTCTGGAACTAGCCCCATAAATGTGGCCAATTTACTGGACTACATCCGTAAATAAAGGCCACACTTCCACCGTGTACAAAAACATGTCGAACTTTGTCAAACTTTGATTTTCACATTAAGCTTAGTTTGTAGTTTATTTTTGCTTTAGAAGCATACTCACCCTCTTTATAGGCTAATCAGAAAGTGCTGCCTTTTTCAGATGTCAAATTTTTGTGAAATTTCATGTTGAAATTTTGATACGCAAACGAGTGCAAACGAATCTGAACATTTCACACACAAAATAGACATCAGAAAAAATGGGTTTTTTTGCTAATCCACGTAAGTGCCGGACATGGATTAGCCTAATACACCTGTCACGCTATTGTATCTGTTGTCATCACATTCCATACATGCCCTTCCATCCAAAGGCGCCCAATTCCAGTTACTCAGGTATGTAACTAAATGCCCCTAGTATGAAACTAGTTAGCAAGGTTCTTAGTAAGGTTTCATGCATAACAATTTAGTTGTCAACTCCATAGTAGACTACTAGGCATTTGAGTATCCTGCTAAGGCCTAGTTGGCTGTTAATCTAGTAAGGTTTTATGGCCCAGACATACAAATGCTGGCACTGCATTTGAGTTCACAGTAAGATCAGTGCGACAAACAAGTGCGTTTGGTATCGTTTCTATTTACAAATTGCTGCTTTGTTACGTTTACTACTACAAAGATGTTTCCCATTTTTCAATAAAAAAGATACGAATATCAATGATTTTAATGACAATGAACTTTGAAGTTGTGTAAGTTCGGTGAAAACCAAGCCAAGTAATATGCAAGGGAATATATGTTTTTCTTCTCGTCATAAAATAAGTCTGTGTTGGTTGGAGTAAGTCACAGTTGCTTTTGGAGGTTTAGATAAAGGGATTTAAAGTGTACACATATTGTTTTCCCTTACAGAAAGTATATTTCTTCTACATAAATAAAGAAAACCGTGACACTTCATTTTCACCCAGAAAAATCAAACTGTCACAATTTTTTTTTAAATTTTGTCCCACAAAGAAATGCAAATTTTAGAAATGTTTTTAATGTTTGGCCTCTCTTGTATGTTTTACGAAAGATTTCAAGTCGTCAATCTCGAAGTGAAAATATGCGTTTTGTTCTCTAACAGTCATGAGAGCAAGTTATATAATACCCAAACAAATTCACCCCAACATAAGAATTCCTTGCTCGCTAATGGCTCAATAGTTCAAGAGAATTATTTACCGATCAAGCATCCTGTGAAATCAGTACGCATATATATGCAGTCATTTTATCGAGGAAAGAGGAGTAACCAGCATTGCCTTGCAAATGTGAGGACCCAAACCATCGCTTTGAGTCGAGAAAACGAAGACACACAAAGTCTTGCACAAAGTGTTCTCAAAACTTTCATCTTAGTTGTTGATTAACCTACTTCAGATTTATTGTAGTTTCCTCGAATCGGCAATTTTGTAAACAAATTTTGCAAATTTTGTCCATTTGTACCTTTACAAATACAGATTTCTTTAGCAAAGTGCCCACTTTGATCAATATAACCCAATAATATTCTAAAGTAAAAAAAAAAACCCTTTTTATGGCAATCATATTTTTTTGTGAATGACATAAAGCCTTGAAAAATATATATATTTTACACCTTGTAAACGGCGAGGCATACAGCACAATCATAAAAAAACGGTCGTGGGTGACGTGGGTGGGTTCGATGGGTCGATTTTCCAGTTGGGGGAGACTGGGGCCGATGATTGTGGGTTTTTTATGTTGGCGTGCCCCGGCTACACTGCAAAAACTGCAGTGTTAAATTTACACCATTGGTATCTATATAGGACCATCTGGTGTTAAATTTTACTGGTGTTGTCCTATATAGATACCGAATATTCAGTTTTTGCAGTGTACGCTGCTGAAAGTACCACATTGCAAGTGTGTGAATTGGTTTTTCTAGTTAATCCTACTGTTTTTTTTCTTAACATGATTCAACTATTCCCCATTTTCTTTTATTCTTGATCTTAAGGTCCCTTCGTTGGTGCCCTGGTGAAGGTATGGGATTCCCGCAAGCTTACTATCGCAGGAGGACTACTAGCTGGTACTACTACAGTGGCTGCGTCCTTTTCTTCGTCCATCACCCAAATGGGGGTGTTGTTTGCTTTGATAAGTATGCATAATTATCTTCATGAAAAAGTTTATCTTAACGAAAACAGTAATACATCATTTGGGCATAATAACATGGTATGATGAGAAGCGTCCGTATTTTTTATAGGCTGATTATGTTCCGTGAAGCAGGGCGAATCATATTACAATCTGCCAACACCGATGCAGCATAAAAATATATCTTTCCCGAGCCAAGTTAAAATGTTGTATTTGTTTTGATATGTCATAAAAGAATCAAGTTTATGTCATTATAAGATTCAAGCCAAGGCCGTATATCCCGGGGTGGGGTGGGGGTGGGGCAGATAAATCCCCCCACTTTTTGACTGGGGGTGACCCATTGGATCACCCCCACCTCATTATTGGAGAAGTGAGAAATAAAATAATGCCGGTTTTAAGGCTATTTTCTAACTTTCCAACAGCCCAAATGTATTAAATAGCACTGAAAAATGGAGAACAGTAGAAATGCTTTAGATGCATCGTTTTGATGGAAGGCTAGGCGTAAGCTCTCAAGTTTGCTTAAAATCCACTACAGTGTATCAAGAACATGTGTCGTGTAGTGTCCAGCCCCGCCCCTCCCTCCCCCTCCCTCCCCCTCCCTCCCCCTTCCTCCCCCTCCCTCCCTTCCCCCTTCCCCCTTCGAATTTCGACGGCCGGGCAATGCAAGGATTGTTTGGCAACTTCCCTCCCCGGCCTCGCGTCTTTTTGAAGGCGGTTTTAAGACGGTTCAGACGTCGATACAGTAAAGTCTTTATTTTGCGCCCCCGCCCGCTCAACAGGGACTAAAAAGCTGGATGCTCTAATGTCCCCACTCGTCCACACGGATTTACGCCACTGGTGGGAGCGAGGTCGTCTGCGGAAACGTAGCTGCAAGATTTGGCATTTGTCAAGTTCTAACACTTTTGACGTTATAAGTAAATGTAGATTGAAAGCTTGAGTTTTATTTGCAGCTACCCAAAAAGTAACTGACGAAATTATTGTTGAAAAGCGTACTTGGTTTTTAAATAGTAATGGTAAAATGCTGTCATTTTGAAAAAACAAGAAAGGAAGGTCATTTCCAATAATGCGTCTAAATACGCATTTTTTTAATAGAAATATCCGTTATAGTAGTTCGTTTTTAATGCAACAAAACCGTGAATGGGAGGGCGTAAGCGTTGACATGACGCACACGCGCGCAGTTACAAGATTCATCGGTTCAGTGCGTGACATTGCGAAGGTGCAATTGGCTGAATGAGAACCACTGATCTCTATATAAAGACTGGATAGCTAATAAAGAGCCGCACAATGTACGAATTTGACGCCATATTGGTGAGACCGGCTGGTGATCTACAAAGGACAAGTTGCCGTCTTTATAGACAGCATGATTTCTTTTGTAACGTCGCGGCTCACTTGACTTATATTTTGGCCACCACCACTGACCAACTGACCAAGGTTTACTACAATTTTTCTAACGTAGTGGTTACTTTTATAATGCCGCAAATCACTTTTTCGGCGTTTTTGAAAAAATAATCACTACGGAAATGTGTTCCTTTTAGAACATCATAATATGTGTACGTGACCAAAATGCGCGTCAACTGTTGATACAACGCGCGCGTATTTACGCGTAGAACGTTCGTATTATGCGCGGCCATCTTCGTGAGACCGGCGGCGAATTGGTCAATATGCAAAGTCTACTGTGTGAATGTTGTATGCATATCCGCTATCCAGTCTTTATATAGAGATCAGTGATGAGAACGTGTCTCGGACGCTGATCTCGGTCGCAATTTAAAACATGACTCGGCAAGTTTCGAATTGAAATCGAGATCCTAGAATATTGTTTTCTCAGAATATACAGCAAACACTGAGCTAAGATTTATCAGGTTAGTTGTTAAGCACCCATCTTTAGATTCTGAGCACTTGTGTTGCTTCAAACGAAAAAAATGCACAAATGACAAATAATATACATGTACTCTACCTTTAAGTTAAAAATAACCTTCCTTTAAAACATTTGATTCCGTACTTTGGGGGAAGGTATATTTTTCTGCAAATGGTGACGCTATACCAGACGTCTTGTTGTCTGCTATCAGTATAATCGTTCGTTAATTAATGCGACATAACGTTGCACATTCAACAGGTGGTTTGCTTGACTTTCCGCTAGCGGTAATCTTTTGATACTTTAGTAAAAGGTCTGATTTTAATTTACCGATTTGTTGTGCTATTTTTGTCAATCAATAAACATTATGCAACCCGCAGTGCTGTTGAAACTTAATTTGATATGCCCTGTTAACTGTTGCAGTTGTCCTACTAATCAGCCACAATCAGTTCTTACAATAAGCTTGTCGAATTTTGTCAAACCTTTTCGAGGGTGATTTACGGGTGCATGGGACTGTAAACATCTTGAATGATGAATTCAATATTAAAGGGAGTTCTTTGAGTATGAAAGTCCCAGATTTTTTTTCAGGGTTGGGGGCCGGAGAGGGTGGCTGAAGTTGTTGGATTCAGGATATACTGGGACCAAATAGGCCTGAAATAATGAATCGCGTTTTGCTATAGATGCGTCATTATACGGAGCTTAAGGAAATTCGGCATTTTTCAATAACACGTACTTATTAACATTTGCAGACGGAAGTAACAACCACGACAACCACCGCCCTAAATTTAAATCAGCCCCTGCTCTGTTATGATGTTTCTTGATGCTAAACATGACATCCGGTTTGTGGCCAAACTGTTATTATGGAGTTGCATTTAAGGTTCATAATTTTTCGATACATTGATTTCCCAAATTAATATATCGGAAACAGTTAATTAGCCAGCTGCACGCGCTGTGTAGACCTATAGGCATACACAGTGCGTGCAGCTGGCTAATTGTTTCTTATATATTAATTAATTATGTCTGCGCCGAACAGACTGTATTACTTGCTCAGGAGAGGATCGTCTTCAAAATAATTTGTGATCATATTATTTGAAAAATAAGTGATTTATGGTAATTTTAGTTGAGTCCCGAGTCGCGCAGGTCGAGTCCAAGTCCGGGTCCGCAGGTTCGAGTCCGAGTCCTAGTCCGAGTCCGATTCGTATGTCATCGCGACTCGAGTTCTAGCCGGGGTCACGGAAACTGGGACTCGATTCGGACTCGAGTCAAACCAGACAAACAGGGGCTTTCAAATATAATGTCATCACTTCAAAAAAGGACTGCTACCGTTACTCTCTTTACCCAAAGACAATCCCAGAATGAAACCTCCTTGATCTTGACACAAGAAGTGCACCGGACGTCAATACATTCAAAATTAGGATAGATGCCATCAACATAAAAAAAGTCATCGCTATAAGCTCATCCCATAATCTAATTTGAGACTTTTGACCCGACCAACGTATGCGACAACCAGAAGATGGTGTTTGTACGTGGACGAGCAGATACAGAGTCCGAGTCATGAGTCATACAAGTTTGCCAAAAGGCTTCCCGTTATTTCATGAAATCTAACGAAGCATTTGATAGAGCAGAAAGTAATGCTCATCAGGACCTCCAAGCGTAAGTGTACTTTGAAAATGCGCTCAGTGAATGTAATACCGATTTTATCCATAATTGGCTTAATGGACGGATTTTCTTTTTGCCCTGTTTTCAGGTATCGGCTTGGCTTTCATACAAGTATCATCAGTCAAACCTCTGATGGACTATTTTCCAGAGAGCTTCGCCACCGCCAATGGCGTATCTCTGTGCGGAGGGACGATAGGCATGATGGTGATCCCCCCGTTGGTGGAATACCTGGTTGAAGAGTATGGATGGAGAACCGCCTTTGCACTTTTGGGTGCATTTTCATTCAACTACGTGGTGTGTGGGGCTTTACTCAGACCTCTACATCCTATGCGAACAAACTACAGTCGGTTGCCGGGCCAGACGTATGATGCTGACGCTGCTACCCCAGAGCTCAGAAACCAATTTGACGACCGCCTGCTGCCAGATAGGAAGAAGAGTCGCGTGAATTTCAAAAAAGTGTTCTCAATTATTCTGGAAGTTATCCGCGAGCGGTTCGACACTCGGGCCCTAGCTGACCCTATATTCATCATTTACCAAGTAGCCTGTGTATTGAATGGCATGCTTTACAGCATGTGGCATCTGTTCCTCATTCCCCAAGGCCTGGAGCTAGGCTTCGGCGACGAGCCATCGGCGTTCTTGGCCACTTACGGCGGCCTGGGTGCTCTTATCGGACGACTCGGACACGGGTTTTTGGTAGACTGTGGCCTCATCAAAGCTTCTTCTCTCCTCGCCTTGTCGTCTTTGGTCTTTTCGGTGTGCTGCGGCCTCAATCCTCTGGCTACATCATCATACGTGGCCATAGCGGTACTTGCCACGGTTTCAGGGATCGCTATCGGGGCCATATACCCGCTGTGTTTTGTCGTGATGCGGGAAATCACTGGAGACCAGCAAACCTCGGCCTACAGCTGGCTGTTCTTGTCCCATGGTGGAGGGCAGCTTCTAGGTGGTTTCTTCGGCGGTGAGTGCATAGTCATGAAAGAGGTGTTGTGAACAGGCGTGTTTTGCTGATCCAAAGGGACCAGCCCAACGTCATCTTTGTCTGACTTGCTGACAGACTCACTAACTGACTGACTGTCACTTGAGATCCGGGCAGTTATGTCATATAGGAGTACCCCGTGACGACAATAAATCGGCTAAACCATCGTTAGACAAGATGCATGATAGACTTTTAGTAAACAGTCATTCTGAATAAATCGAATCGAATGGGTCAAGCTTTTTTCTGTTGAATTAATTTAATGGAAGAAATCGAAACGATCTTGTTGTGGAGCGCTGTGTTTCAATAGTTACGGTGTTCGACTCATGTGCCGCGGTGCGTGGGTTCGAACCCTGACGGGGAACATGGCACTTGTGTTCTTGGGCAAGACACTTTACTACAATTGCCTGTCTCCATCCAGAAGTGTAAATGGGTACCTGTGAAGGTAGAGACAAGAATGCGCTGGTCTCGAGTTGCTGCCAAAACTGTTCCCATGGCCTGTTAAACACGCTAAATAATTGTGAATAATTTGGTATAAGGCGCTATTATTATGCACGACATTATTATAGTAACAAGCATATCAAATTTGATGAATGATTGTGAATTCATTTGATCGTTGAACAATTTTGTTGAACATTGTTGACGGTTGAACAATTTTGTTTACAGGTTGGATCCACGATGTCATGGGAGCGTACGAGTTCGCCTTCTTGGGCATGGGAGCTCTTGCTGTCGTCATGGTCGCCATGTTGGTTTTGACTCGATGCCTCATGCATTTCTGTGGACCACGTGACTGAGGTGCGCAGGTGCGCACAAATTACTGCCGTTTGGAGACCACGTGAATCATTTCAGTTTGACTCCTGATCCTCCAAGAGTCTGGTTCCTTCCTGAACTCTTCAAACTCACGGGTCCGATTTGACCCAGAATCAGGCTTCTATTTGGCCTTACACTTTTCCGGGTCAAAATGGCACTACTCTGACTCATTTACCTGGTTATTTTGACCGTGAAAAGTGTCAATTTGATCCGGAAAAGTGTCAGGCCAAAATATACAACCCGGATTCTGGGTCAAATCTAACATGCATTTGTTTTTTTAGAGTGTTTGCGCTCATACCCAGCTCAAGAATAAACATGAAACTACGTGTGTTAACAACTTCTAGAAAAAAATTGTTATGTTAATATCAGTGAAATTTTCTAGAGAGTAAGATATTTTTCATCATTGACCCAGTATAATATATATTGCGACATAACCTGCGTGACTATACAATCTCATTACCACGGATCAGTTCATGCAGAAATCCAAACAAGACAAAGTACATGTAGTTGGTTTATTACATAAGACTCCGGGTATGAATTTACATTTACTGAAAATGTTTCCACTGTGCTTCGGAAAAAAAACAGCGAATCTGAGTTTACAAACTGCTACTTGCTAGGTTCCTGTGAAACTGATGAAACTGATTGTGAAAATGACAAAGCTCATACCCAACATCATGAATGTTTTTTAAAGAATTTTCATTCAATCCCAATCCTATATTTACTTACAAAATAATTGCCGTATTGTACCATAGGGAGACATTCCCATAGGGTTGTGCACAAAAGTATTCAAACTTTCATGACCCCTCACCCCAATTTATAAACTTTATCCTATCCTCGCGAAATTTGATAGATTCATGTTTTTGACCACGAGCAATCAATCCAGCATATTTGCCTCTAAATAGAACTTAAAGCCTTAGAGAAACATCCAAAATGTCTCCATAATGTCAAATGTCTCCCTGAGGTATAACTAATGGTGATAAAGTGTCTTGCTAAAGGTACAATTAGTAGAAAATTATACTCTTTTGCAGTATATCTGACATGATTGACATGGGGAAGAAAGAACATTTTGTGGCATGTTCTGACAAAATTCAGATACCTCTAGGCAAATGGAGATGTGACTTTAAATCGATGTGGTCAATTTTTGTTTTAAGATTTTTTAGATGTTAGAAAATTTGAGATCCAAAATATGTTTCAAAAATTTACTGTAGGAAGATTCAAGCCTTAGTTTGTATTCTTAAGATGATTTTTGGACGTTTTGTAGTTGGTGTATCAGGTCAAAAAATACACAATCCAAAACTGTAAAAAGGCAGTTTCTCTTTTCATCACCTTTCATCGCATACCGGTACTTCAAATCGTCGTAATTTGGCAAAGGCAAGTTTTATTTCTTCAAAAGTTTAGTCTGAACAATATGTTTCTTTTGCACATGACGAATCTTTTCACAATACCACAAACCAAGACAATCAACTAACATGGCATGGAAAGTCCATTTCGCTAAAAAAAGGAATAATTTGCAATGAGTTTCGCTGTGAGTTTTGCAAATTTATGGAATACTTTGCATGAATAACTGAAATCATTATATTCTCACGGAATTTCACCGTGTTTTTCCCCAATAGGGTTTTCGCCCATCCCGTAATCAGTTATTTAGTACCTTATACTGGAATGTTTAGAAATGAACTATGGGTACTTAAGTTTATATGTATCAAGATTTCAATTAAAGTACTTGTAGTTGTAAATATTGAGGGCTGTAGTCTGTTTTACAAGTTCACCTTTTCCTTGTAAATTGTACTTTGCTTAACGTTATTCGATAATTTGTAATGTATGCAGGGCCCCAATGGAAACGTAACTTTTAAACTGTTTGGGCAAACACCGGGTAAAGAGGTACTGAATAATAATTAAATGGGAAATCTTCAGAGCCTGTTAATCGTCAAGTTGCCCAGATATCCTATATTGATAGAACACGTCACATTTTCTAGGAGGAGAAACGTGAGTCTTTCAAATAATAACCCCGTGAATGAGGAGTTTGTCGACACGAACACAGACTGTTCGCAGATAATCTTGATCATTTTAAGAAATCAAAATGATGATGATCTTGATTTAATTTCTAATTGCCTACGGGTATGATAGTGATATAAAGAGAACACGTTAAAACAACACAGTGTTCCGCTAAGTTTGATAAATTACATCATTATGGAATTAGGGGAATCACTTGGGATGGGTAAGTGACAGTGGAAAATATGTTGTGAGATCCGATGTTTTATTCCTCAAGTTTTAATCAGTACTGTACTTTTCCTGGCTTATGGTAGGTTCCTTACAGCTCTTTTAATTGATTTCTTTGTAGTATTTGTCATGGTGGAAACAAGAGAAACGTTGGCAACTGTAAACTTTCGGAGTGGGTTAACGTGTGCACTTAAAATAGTATGAGATGACACAAGATTTTGTTCGGTTCAGTAACTGTAATATACAGGGTGTCCCAATCATGAAACAATGTGCATGAAGAAATCGCAGATTTTCTCAAAAGTTGGTCAGACTAGCTAATCAAATTGTATAGCATTTTCAAGCCTATGGTCTTGTTTATAATTGGTGAAACAATCAAGAAAATCCAACCACGCAAACCAGAGTTATCTTTGATTTGGTAAGGCTATGTATTTTTCGACCTGCACAATGTAATTTCCACACTTAATATTTGCTTGTATACAGCGCGTGTCCCAATAAACATTGTGCATGAAGACGTCGCTGATTTGTTCAAAAGGTGGACAAACTAGGTATAAATTTGTATGTTATTTTAAAACCTATGGTCTTGTTTACAATTGGTGAAAATATAATGAAAATCCATCCATGCAAACCACAGATATCGTTATTTTGTAAGGCTATATTATTTTCCTTCTGCACAAATAGAATCCTATTTGATTGAACTTGAAAAGAACAACTCGAACCACCAACCCCCCCCCCCCCCAAGTTATTTCAAGAGATTTAAAACTTGCCAAAGAACAGGTCGATACCAAGATGTTTATATTTTGTCAGTGTCTTGTCGGGGGGGGGGGATGTGAAAACGAATCAAGGAATATAGCTGTAATTGCTGGAACCCGGGATTGAACTGGAAACCTTCAGATCTTCAGTCTGATCTGACGCTCTCCCAACTGAGCTATTCCGGCTGGTGATTTGTTTTCTGAAAGGACCAAGCTTTTTAGCACCTGTCAATTTCTTGTTGGCACAAACGAAAGTGGAAACCACCTGATGATCATAGTTCTAATTGTTGGAACACGCAACCTCGTCCCCAGTGTTTACTTTATTTCCAACCCCGTTTCCAATAGTAAGCCCTGGATAAGAAACGTTTTTCCTGTATCCTGCATGATTCGATACTGCAATAAACCTCTGTACTGATGACGCCACAATTTGTTTACGTGTGTGCTTTCCTAGGGTGCTCAGTGGACCGTGGACCCCAACTGGCTCCGTAGGAAAGAGCATAAACAAAGTGTGACGTCATCAGTACAGAGGCTTATTGGCTAGTAATGGATTTATATCGTGTACTTGGCCTGTTATTTCCAACGTGCATTTACGTGTTTTCACGATCATTGTAATTTTAACGTCCGCCACGCCTTTTCAAAAATACTCTTTTTCTTGAACAAAAAGTGCCTCTTTAAGAGTGGTCCCCCGGTGTTTTTGTTTTAAATAATTTGTTAAAACCTAGGCCTATCCTAATGTTCGCTGAAGATCATCACCCAAAAATATCTTCGACATCATCACCCAGGTCACCCCCAGTGAGCATATTCCCTGAGGTATATAGTCACCAATATAAAGAAAGAAAAAAGTAGGGGTTTTTTTTCGTATGCACGTCATTTTTTGAGAACTCGTTATGAGAAAAACATCTTAATTGTCGAAACGCACGGACCAGTATCCACCGTAGTGCAGTTCGTCAGAATTTTTATGGAACTCAAACTGAATGTCAAAGTTCAACAAAAGGTCCCGCAAAATGAGACGTTTGATCGACCAAACTTATGACAGTAAAGTTAGTTTGATATTGGTCGTTGGCCACACCAAACCTCTACACATGTATAGCTAAACTGAAACAAGTAAGTCTTAAGAGCAGTTGTGAATTCAAAAGCCGAAGAGATATTGAAAATATTGGGAGGAGATTTTTACCAATGTTAAAGGCCTCAAGAGAAACTAGACTTACGTTTGTGGACAAACACAGGGCTGTTTCGGTATTTTTTTGTGACATGTGACATGTAAAGTTTCAAGTATAAGTTCCATTCAGGAAGGATGTGTAGTTCTGTTGATAATAACTCGTGGGTAAAATATATGATTACATTCCCATAGGTCTTTGAATTTTGATGTTACATGTGATGTGATGACCTCATGATGATGACCTCATGATGACGTCACATCACTTTTCATCTATAACTATATTTTTGTTTGTAAATAACAACTTAGCCATAGCATAGAAAATCGGCTAAAACGGTCACCATGGTCAGGATTTGACCTCAGCAACAAGTGCGCTGCGGTCTGACTGACATACGATGTATGTGCGTATGTACAACGTACGTGCATGTACATGTACATTGTGGACGTCCTGTGCATGTTTTGTCAAAGTTAGCCGAAAATCGGCTAAAACGGTCACCATGGTCAGGATTTGACCTCAGCAACAAGTGCGCTGCAGGCTGACTGACATACGATGTATGTGCGTATGTACAACATACGTGCATGTACATGTACATTGTGGACGTCCTGTGCATGTTTTAAAGCAGAGGTATTGTCAACCTAAAGTTTTAAGCGTGCGCAAGGCATGTTTGAGTTCGCTTATTACCTCGAAGCTTTGATATGTTTTAGACCCACCCTTAAATCGATAATTAAAGTAAAAACTAATATAAAAAGTGCCATGGTTGATTTTTCAGGAAGTTTCAAAGGAAAAAAGGTCTTTTCATTATAACTGCCGGTCTGATGACGTCATACGCCTAAAACTTCTCACACGTTCTAAGGGGGTCAAGGTCATCATAAACACCAATATTTAGGCGATTCCGACAAACTTCGCCACAGACATCTATTCAAAACACATTTTTGAAAGTTTTCAACCTGTCGCTAGAGGGCGCTCGAAGATTGCATGACGTCATCGGTAGATGATTTGAAGTATACTATTGGCCAAGAGACTAACACCGTTGAAAGCAAGTTTATATCTATTACTACTTTCAAATGATAAGCCACTTCCGGTGTTGGCCTTTTTCGACCGGAAGCAAGGGTCACGTGATTTCACGCACACTGAATGAAATAAAGACCTCAACCTATTCTACCATTGCGGGCAACAAAATACTGCGGATGAGTACGGTTGATTTCTTATGCATTTTTGAATATTAAAAGTGTCACAATTTAATTGCCTCTAAATACACACCTGATGACGTCATCATGACGTCATCATTACACAATGTTGTTTAAATTAGGGTCTTTGCTTGGACAAAGATTGGTGTAAATGAATTACTGGCAAAGAGTCAAAAATGCCCTTTGCAAATCGACAATTTTTTTTTAATTTCTGTGTACAAAGTCTATGGGAAAAATTTAATATTCAAAAATCTATAATAAATTAGTCGATGACGTCACCATGACGTCAATCTTGGGGACACATCTTTGCTATAGGGACTATGCTTATGCTAACTTTGAATGATGTATGACAAAGATTAATGCCAAAAGTGGCGTTGAGAAAAAACGTGCACAAAGTCTATGGGGTTAAGGCGACAAAAAGAAGAAGCCAAAAAAAAAAAAAAAAAAAAAAATGAGAACAAAAAGAAAGGCTTTTCCGCATTTTGCGGAAAAGCCAATAAAGTAAAAAAAAAAAGATCTTAACGAAAACAAAGGCTGTTTCGGCAAAAGTGCCGAAACAGCCAATAATCCCCCAGGAACACTTGGAGTGGAAGACCTGAAACGTCTAGAGTTTTAGTTTAAACCTCAATTGCCAGAGCGTAGTAAAACGTATATGTACAAATAAATGTATAGTTGAGTGGTCGGGCACAACCCGACCACTCTTTGGATTTGTTGCGATTAATCTTTCTTTCTTCCTTTCTTTGTTTTTTTCTGCATAGCACGTTTCCGCGGGTTTTCTCCTAAACGGTATATGATATGAACTTGTTACTTTTAACACATATTGACCCTCATTCTGAGTGGTGCATATTACACTGACGTCATTATGACGTCATCGGGTGTCAAATTACAAGCGATTTTCGTTGAAAAAATGACGATCTTCTTTCATCTATAATTCTTCAACAAAATGATCAAATTATGCTCAAACCTTGTAATCAGACAGACCATAAATTGATAAACATTTTTTGTCGTGTACGTGAACTTGCTTGACCTTTACTTCCGGGTCTACCGGAAGGTCAAAGTTAGGTGCATTCAAAATGAAGACGTAAGCTTGAAATCCATACAAAGCAAAATTTCTTCCAAACACTTTACGGTATGATCCTAAAACCTAGTGTGAACTTGCACCATGTAACGAAGATATTATACATTTTGTTACATCATCATGATGTCATCAGGTATCAAATTACAAGCGATCTAAGGGCAAAGTTGGACAAAATAGTTTGCGCTATATCTTTTGAACTAAACAGAGAATTGTGTTCGTTTTTTCGTGAGGTCGTAGACTATGCCGTGAGTAACATATCTTGTCCCCGGACACAAAACCGCTTGACCTTTACTTCCGGTGTAACCGGAAGTGCAATAAAAACCGAAAACAACTCAAAAGCGGAAGCATTTTACTACACACATACAAATTGTAAAAGTGTTTAGTGAGGAATGCCAGACACAAAAAAGCGTGATGACGTCATCTTTCGAAAGGGCGCCCCCTAGCGGCACATAAAGTAGTTTTTGCTTTCTTTAATTTGAAAACAATCCGTTCAAATTTTACTAAATCGCCCTTTGATATTCTTTGATTAACCACAGATAACTTGGCAAGGTTACAAATTATGACGTCATCGGACCGGAATTTATTTCTATGAGAATTTGAAAACGATAATATTTTATATTTCAAATATATCAATTGATCCATGTCGATCTGAGCCCATATAAGATATCCATTACAATGTTCACCTTTTCTTCCAATACTGTGACGTCATCAAACCGGAAGGTAGGTGACGTGTTATGAATACATACACTTCCAAATTTCCATACGTTATTTAACGTCACAATGAGCATTTATCCAATCCGAACTCAATCAATATTCACTTCCCGTTTTTGAACAATGACATCATCA